CCCGACGGCAAACACCGGGGGGGGCGGCTTGTTTTACAACGTCGTTGCCAAGCGACGAAAACCCAACCCCGATGGCAAACACCGGGGGGGGCGGCTTGTTTTACAACGTCGTTGCCAAGCGACGAAAACCCAATCCCGATGGCAAACACCGGGGGGGCGCTTGGGGGCACTTGGGGGGGGGGGCATAAAACTGGTACGCTGCAGGTGCATGTTGAAGTCCTACGGCGGGGTATATACTGTGTGGTATGACGACTCGTTTGTCGGTCGGTGGTGTTGTTTCTCTTGGAGCAAGCGTGGTGCGGTTGTGTTACAGCAGTGCGGCCCCCCGATGTAAGAAGCGAAAAAACGGCTAAAATATGTTCGCAAAATATCAAAATTGGGTAAAAGAGCACAGCTAGCTCAGGATCCTGCCCTACTTTCTTCAACTATATTGCCCTGAACGCGACGATGGTTACGAAATATAAAATCGAGTCTCGATCCGAAATTGATGCTCCTTGTGTCCGGGCACCTACTTGTAGAGAGGTACATGCGAACAGCACCAACGGGTGAGAGGCAATCTAAGCACTTGTACATGCCAACCGACTGCCGAAATTGCCAGACATCATCATCGTGGCTCCCCGAAGTTTTGAAACGTCTTGCTCAACGTCACAACCGCCCATTTCAACAGGTCGAAGAGCTGGTGAAGAAGGACGAGGCGATAGAAGTCAAGTGCGAGTTCTGCGGCAAATTGTACCGACTATCCGCCGAAGACGTAGTGAAAGAGCTCAAGTTGACACCTTTGCAGGACCCCTGAGTCGGCCATACCTACTTCGCTATTAAGCTTAGCAGGCAGCACGATGACAATTTGTGTTGTGGGTGTTGCTTTACCTACTTGCCTCCCTGCCTACCTGACCTACGGCGTGTGGATGAAACGGGACGTGTGCGGTAGCATATAGCTTTTAGTACAGGCTCCTCATGTACCGGTTGTCGTGTTGGGGGGCCCGTTGGTCTGTAAGGTCTCGCGTGTGTCTGCTTTAGACTATGCAGCGCCTGTCCCTATTTTCCACGTTATGCAGTTTTTGAATGAATGTGTCAAATGTGTCATTCATTGTGCAGTCCGGTGACGCTGACAGTCAGTGTTCATCTATTTGGATGGTCTGTAGACTAGCTACAGCGGGTACACCAATATGATGTTAAGATGATTAAAAAATGATGGTGCAGCTATCCTGCCGTACTGACTCTCCAGGCATCTCGCAGACCACCGAGACAAACGAAGGTTCTGTACCAAATGATGAGCAGAGTGCAATCTACCAAGTTGAGCTCGTGCAAGCACACTGGAGTTACAAGTCCTTTCCCTACAAGTCGACATTGCCAGCAGTCCCTCTGTAGACGCCCTACACTCTCCACGTGGTTGCCCTCCCTGTGGTCTGTTGGTGATGTCCTGTGTGTTGGGTTGCTGTTTCTCCCATCTATAGATCTGTTGGTTTGGCTATTTGTGGGGAGCGAGCGGTCTCGTGCACGAGCACCAAATGTTGGTGCTTCTGTACGTCCAAAGTGACACGCTGATGCTGCTGTTGGGACGCCACGCGTATACAGCAATATGCACAACATGTCACGCATGTGTCGTGCAGCGCACAGCACGGTAGCACGGTTCTTCGCGCAATCCGCACCATGAGCAGCGTGCAACTCGTTATGCATCGGGACGGTTGGGCAAGAGCCATGGAACGGCTACCCTTGAGCCACACTGAAGCGGAGTATATATTGCGTAAGTGTTCGCATTTGTCGGTCTGCCTGTACCGAATAATTGAGGTACGCACGAAAGATCAGAAGTGCAGCCTGGGATAACGCGGATAACGTCCGGGCTGTCGATGTAATAAATGTCGGAAGCTCTCTCCCCACAGGGAAGACACGTGCGGCCCAAATCGCCAAACGCCGTCTACAGGGTATCCAGACGATGGTGACATGTGTATCCACCCGCCCACGCATATCTTGACGTTTTCTCCTGTGCGTCTTGGCATGCCTGCCAGCCCTTTGTAACCCTTACCGTGGAGGAAGGACACGAGGAGCGGCCGTTATCTGGCGGAAGCGAATGCTCCCTCCTGTCTGTACGCGCCATGTGGCGCGCCCTCAAGTCCAGCCAGGCCAACCACCAACCAGTGTGTACCCAAGTGCCCATTTTTATTATTTCTTCCACGTCCCCCAACCCCGCTTTTGTCCTCGTTGCTTCGAAGGCGTTATCTTCGCAAATTCGTCCAAACCCGCTGCTGGGTCCAAAAACGCTCGGAACAAGACGAGACCCGAGGTACGTGGTAGACCACCACTCACTCACGCCGTTCAACTCGACCTCGGCCGTTCCTTTTCCGTCTGCGGCCATGCCTCCGACCGACTGCTTCGATGACGCGAATGCAAGCTGTGCATCCATGGGGTGGTGAGAGCGAATAACCTGCAGATTGTTGGGTGTTTTGGTCGAGTGTGTGTACGGTTGGCCATACGCTGGCTTGAAAGGCACGAGACAGGCAACAGCTTACACGAATGTGGTGTTGCGTTTGCTGCTCCTGTCTGGTGCACAAAAGGGTTCTCACCCAGAGGTGTCCTCTTTTGCTCCCTGCCTCTCGGCAACCTCAGCGTCAAGCCCCATGCGATGCTGCGTTACTCTATGTGCATGGTAGTCGTGTAGTCCAAGCACCCGGAAACTCAGACCCGGTGTTTTTTCCTGGATTTTCTTTGCGCTGGCCTCCCTCTCTCTCCCTCCGCGGCTCTTGGGTTTTTCCAGCGGTGTTCCCGAGTCGGGGCTGTTGCCCACGACAAGGTCGCCACTCCATCACGGTACTGACCCTGACCTCTCGGCTCCCACTCCGTCACCTTCGGGGGTCGCGGCTGCGGGGCTCGACTTGTCCCCTGTGATGGGACCAACGGTGAGAGCAGCAGCAGCAGCAGCAGCAGCAGCAGCGGGTGGAGTGTGGTGCCGGAAATCGTGTATTTTTTTTCCAGGCAGCAGTTGGAGGCCAAAACCTGCAGCAGTCTCTCCGTCTCTCCGTCTGTTTTTCTTCGAGGGAAATCAACGCTCCCCGAGAGAGCACACAACCACTTGAAGGGACGCGAATTGAATCAGAACCTTGTGCCGATGCTGAGCATGCGCTTGTGCTGCGCCGGATGCGTTTAGAACTGCACCCTGGTGGCGTTGGTTGGCGACGGTGTGCTGCCCTCTCGTGTGGCATCGAGGTTGAGCTTTTCGAACCCGTCATACAATGGCACCCAACCATCCCCCTTGCTAGTCTTTCGGAAGCATCCATCGAAAAATTGCCTTTTTGCTGTCCCTGAAAAACCTAAGTCCACACGCACGTAAGAGCCCCCCCAAACGCGGAGGGAAGCGTTTGTGTGGTGTCTGCTGAGCACCGGAACCTCTGTCTGCTGTTTCACAGCCAGCGTCCGTGTTTGCACGAGCAACACGCACGCGCAAACACATGTTTACCACACACCACACTGCCCTCCGGCGCCGCCGCCGAGATCGATTTTTTTCCCTGCACACCGAAACACTGGTGTGCGTTGTTTGTTTCGTGCAACAACCGCCCCCCCCCCCCATCATGTCCGCTCGCTTGTTTTTCGCTCAACAAACAGCCCACTGTTATCGTGACCAAGGCAAAGCGGAAGCTGCGAGGCAGCCCAGCGAGAGGGGGGGGCTGTGGCGGAGGCCCCGTCTCTCCCATGGCGGCCCGGCTCTCGAGAGGCTTCCCTCCCTCGAGCATCAGACCCAACACTAGTAGTTTCAGCGGGGTGTCGAACCCATCAACACACGGCGGAAGCAGCTATTGCATCACACAACACGACGCTTCGTCGTCAGCAGCAGCTGAAGGGGAGGCAACAAAGCAGAGGCTGGGAGCCGGAGGGACGGGGGGGCTACTGGACGACAAGGATGAACCGCCCTCGCTTGCCCCTCTCGGAAGCGCTGATCCTGGCGCCAGGGTCGCGGCCACCGCCGCTCCGACCCCCGAGAGTGCCGCGGGTCTCGATGCCGGCGGCGGTGGTTCCGAAGCCAGCAGCGGCTGCGGGGCGCGACAGCAGCAGCAGCAGCAAAAGAAGCCGCAAGTGGACATCAAGGACATGATGCTCAAGGCTAAAAATGTCTCAGACAACATCCGCCTTCTACTGCACGCCAAGGTATGAACTAGATGCCTTTTGACCTCTCTCGGGGAACCAAGGCTTCGTAAACACACCGCTCGCACTCGTGTGTGTGCGGGACCATTCAGTACCACCTTTGCTGGCTCTTTTTTTTTCCGTCCACGGGAGTTCGTCAGTCTGCCTCTGGGTTAGTTGTTCCCCCCTTGTATGCCCACCCCCCCCTCTCAAGATTGCGTCTATGTACCTTCCGTGTTTTGATTTGTTGTGTGCGACAGCTGCGGTGCCAGTGGAAAAGCGTTGGTCGCATGCGCATGTAGGTGGCGTGTCGCTCCCCGTGTCCCCGTCCAGGAAAAAGAATTGCATCTAGATAGAATCTACCTTTCATATGCATATTTTGGGTCGTCTCATGGTTGATTTACCCGCCCGCCAATTTTTTCTTGTTCGAAATATGTTGACCACAGAAAGTATATAATTCTCAGGATTGTTTCCCCGAAAAGTGTAAGGCCGGCCGTCAGGCCATCTGGCACCCCCATACCACCGTTCATGCCTTGGAGTGGTGCGCCTGTTGTGCGTACGTTACCCTTTGGCGGCACGCCGCCTATATTCCATTCTACACAGACCGACCGAAGTCGACGCCGGTCGTGCCGCCCATGGCTGGGGGTTGCAAATGCAATCAACCAAACGTTTCGGTTGAGATGGAGACACGAGACACGCCGGGCGGGTGTCACCGTCATGCATACATGACCTATGGCCCCTTCTCTCTCACACACACTCCTCACATTCGTAGAACAGACACATCAGGACATCTACATATGTATAATATGACCTGCGAAAAGGTTGTCCACGCAGAATATCTAATATTAATAGTTGTTTGCTGGAATAATATGTACCCATGCATGCATGACCCTAGTCCAGCGTCCGAGACTTTATGCTCTGGTTCGATCATGAAAACGGAGGAGTGTTCGCGTGACCAGCGTCCGAGACTTTATGCTCTGGTTCGATCATGAAAACGGAGGAGTGTTCGCGTGATTTGTAGCTTCGTTTGTATAAGGAGAGCTTTGCGGCGCGTGTGTGAGGGAGGACAAAAACATGGGTATGGTACACCTGTCTGTGGGTGTGTGCGTGTCGTTCCTAGCATGGCTACGAAGATACCGTACGCCTGATATCCTACCAATGCTCTTCTCTTTTTTTCCAAGTCAGACAGATTCTTGCACCCGCCACTCGCCACACGAGAAGCGTCGGAAAGGTTAACTAGCAGACATATGTGTGGCCTTGTTTTATCCATAGCTGCATGTGCATGTGTGCAGTCTTGGATTGTGCTCCTTTTCTTGCTCTTACGGAAACTCTGTTCCTTTTCTCTCCTTGGGTACATTTGGATATCTGTACAACGAGTACGGCAGCCGCTGATCAGAGTACATCCAACCAATTGTAGTAGCTCTTCTGCTGTACTGATGGGTTGGATGGATGCATAATACTTCGGTATCAATTTCATCTTGAGAATGGATTGGTTTTCAGCAGTGGGTCATGTGCCGGCTGCCAACGGTCTCGCCGGGTATTTTGCCGAAGGGGCTGGTTGACGATACGGGGTGATGATGTCATGTGGTTATTTTTGCTTTCCCCACAGCAACGCAACCTCCATGCTTTCAACACGTGCAAATAAAACGTGGTGTGTTTATAACAGTCGCCCACCGCAGGCTGACTGAGTGGACTCCACAAAAAGTCTCTTCATTTATCCCTCCGGTTAAAAAGCTGCGGTTGCAGGGCAGTTTTTCGTATTGGCATGATGGCCAGCGTGGCGTTACAAAAAACTGATGTGAATCAATTTCTCCTCTGGCTGTCTGGTGTGGCCGGCGGCGGGTGCGCGGCACTATACTTCAACTCCAGCGGTGCGAGGGGGGCTCCTGCCAGGTGCCGGGGTGCGAGTCTGCACGGCAGCTCGTCGCACACATGCGGGGCTGTCACCTGACTCGGGGCGCCGGGTGCAGCAACGCAAAGTGCGCCCAGGCCCAGAAGATGCTCCGCCACTACGCCGAGTGCAAGTGAGTCCCACAGACAGCGTCCTCTGCTGCGTGTGAACCACTTGTGCAGCAGTTGACGCCTTTCACAGAGTAAAGAGCATTCGCATGTCTTTGTCGGCGGTTCATGCGCTGCGGTGGCGGCCGAGTATAGGAACATTTTGCACGTTTTATCGGCGGTTCATGCACGGCGGTGGCGGCCATGGAATGTTCGGTCGAAGCCCCCCCCCCCCCCNCCCCCCCCCCCCTTCCCCGTTCCCATCCATTGATGTGTATGCTGGCATCCTGGGTAGTTTGTTTGCCACACCGCGTTCTTGCCATGCACACTTTGGGATTCTGAGATGGTTGTAGCATTGCATGACGGTAACGGTGTAGAAGACGGCGGGTAACGCTTACACACAGTAGCTCGTACCGCCGATGATCACGAATGGAGGCAGTTATGATCGCTCACGCTGGTGCAGTTCAGTAGCGGTTGATAATAACGTCCTGAGAGAAGGTGTCACAAGTATTCACGCCCCCCTTGTGGACAAATTTTCGAAGCTGGAAAGATTCGCGGTGCCCTAAATGGCGGCGTTGGAGTTTTCTCGTCCTCTTGCTTTCCGTTAACGTGCCGCTTGTTGATTGTACTTGCCATTCACTGTGAAGTCACTGGCATTTGAAAATTGGTAGTGGGCGTGGTAAACTTTGTTGCTTCGATTCGTGTTGTTTCGGCCTGGTTGTTTGCCGTTGCCAGGCATCTGTAGGTTCATTATTGTCTTGATATGTGAGGTTGTCCCTGCTCACGTTCCGCTGAAAACTCTGAACGAGTAGCCCGTCCCCCGGCCCCTCCTTGACCCGGCTCTCGCATCGGACCCCCCCCCCCCCCCCCCNCGGGCGCTACTGCCTGGTCTGCTCTCTGGTCGCTCGCTCCACCGCCACCAACACCAGCAACAAACACCACCAGACCAGCAACGTCATGCTGCCCCCCACCTCCCCCAACGGCCTTCCAGTCGGCCAAACCTCCCCGGCGAACCGCCGGCAGCCCCTGGGCTATCTTGGTCCTGGGGCCGTCCCGACCAGGCGCGGTCTTAGCGTGCAGCAGCAACAGGACAGGGCAACGGCGGCGGCGGCGGGGGGGAAGGAGCAGGGAATGGACGCCACGCGGCTATCGTCTCCGGTTTTGATCTCGCGGAGTAAGCGGGGCGGCGGCGTGGCCGGGCAATCGCTGCGGCAGCAGCAGCAGCAGCAGGGTGGTGGAGCGATGCCCGGTTCGCCGCTACAGCCGCAGCAGCAGCAGTTCATGGTGATGCCTCGGGGCAGCAAGTTCTTCCGTTCCCTGCCGAAAACTCGCAGAGGAAGCTGGGGCGGGTACGACCGCACCCGCTACCTGCGACGCACGCGCTTCGACTCCATCCCCGAAGAGGTGCCGGAAGAGGACTGTGACGACGACGACTACGACCAAGAGGTGAGTGAGACATGAACCGCTCGCTCCTTCAGCCGTTTTGTCGGTGTTGTCGTGACTGCCGCTCCGTCATAGGTACAAGGACAAGTAGCGCTGAAGGAGCTGACATAGGTCAGAGAATCCAAGGAGACCACGGTTGTCGTTCGTTTTCTACGCCAAGAATTACGACAAGGACGTTCCCCCCGGTTGCAAAGCTAACGCTGGCGTCTTGGGGGGCGTTTCGCCGCTCTCGGGTGAAGAACCGGACCAGGCTTTAGACTTGCCCGTTTCGATGCGCCTCGGCGGCCTCTCTGGGCGCTGGGGTGATTGGAGTGGTGATATTATGGGCGCAGCGGAATGCAGGGAGTCGTTGAGTACCTTTAGTTTGTCGATGCCGAAAGAGAATGTCTTCGGGTGTTGAAGACATTGAATGGAGTTTCGACCTGCTGACATTTGACGTACGCGCGTGCTTCTCCTTTTTGCGTGGTCCCTCTGCCCTTGTGATGATGACAGACGTCGTCCGACGCGGGTTCGAAGTCGACCGTGGGCGACGCGGACAGCCGAAGCAAGACCCTGCTCAGTTCCATTTCCTTGTGAGCTGAGTAGCCCGAGGCACGTGCCGCGTTAGAACCCTCATCCGCAGTGACAAGCACCCACGCGTGTCTAGGACGAGGAGGTGCAATGACGAGGTGAAATAGAGGTTGTTCTCCCTGGTTTCGTTTGTCTTCTTTTTCCTCTGTTGTCAATTTAACCGTTTGGAGGACTGGCCTGTGTCTCGGAAGACGCTTACGTTCGATGATGACGTCTTGAAGCATGGGGATGGGCGAGGAAGACGACTTAATTGGCGACCTGGGAGCGAGCAGGGCGCACATCCTAAACGGCGGAGTTGTGGACCGGGTTTTGGAGGCCATGCCTGTTGTCGGGTTGTTGGTGTGCTGCGCGCGCGTGAGTTGTGGAAGTAGTTAGGGCGCCGCTGCATGGGTGGTTTTGGGCGGCGGGCGTGTTGAGGGCGGCACAGCCCGTGCTTATTACTACGCAGACGTGGGCACCGTCCTTGGTGTGTCAAGGTGCCACCATTAGCAGTAGTTTGGGGAGGGATTTTTGGGGTGGGGGGGTAGTGGGGGGAAGGGTAGATCCTGTTTAATAGAGGGGAGGGAAAATAGTTGACAAACGACATTCCTCCTGGACAGCAGAAAATGTTGCGCAATAATCAAGCATGTACGGTATGCGTATTTTTCGGTGTGTGTGGGTATGGTAGGGGGTGGCGGTGTGGTACAAGCGCAAGGTAGAATACGCGGTCGTTTTGCTTCGTTTTTGGGCTTTTTTTGAGATGCGGTGTTCTTCCTCTGCTGCGTTGACGTGTTGTCTGTGTGCAACTGGTAAATAACCCACGCATATGCGCTGGTTCGAACTGGTTTTGTCGCATCCGCCGGGTGCATTAGTTGACACCCCGCGCGCTGCCCCACCGTCGAGTGTGGGAAACGGACGGAGCCGAACACGGTTCGTTTCGTCGATTTGACTACCACATGTTGGTGTGTGTTGTGTATTTGCTTCCGGCTTGGCGTGTGGTACACGCACGGCGCCGCGCCGCGCCTGCTAGACCACCGGGTGCCTCCGCGGAAATATGGATCTCGAGAGAGGCGGTAAGATAAATCTTGCTCGCCAACCACCACGCTCCTCTTTCGGCGCCCCTTCCGTATTTTGGACTTTTTTTTTTGGCACACACACGTGCACTCGAGCGTGTGATGGGTCTGGCGTTTCTGCTCTCGCGTGCATGATTTGTACAAGTTTAGGAGGATGGGCGTCTTTTTTGGGGGGTGGGGTACGGATAACTATTTTTTTGAGGTTTGGCAGGCTGCCCTCAATTTTTGCCTTGAGTTTTTTCCACCGGGCGGGTGCCCAGCAAGCGGTTTCACGCCCTTTTAGTTATTGCTGGTAAGAATGTGAATTTTTCTGGTACCTTTGTCTGCGTAACGTGGCGTCGTTTGCTGAACCGTGTGGCATATCTCACAGCAAGTGCCGTGCCTTTTTTTTTCGCCCTTAGCCGTTAGCTACTTAGCCGTCAAGGGTAAAAAAGTTCAGAAAACCAATGACTTTTTGCCGATAAAAATCCTTGGTAGCTAGTTTTCTTTTTCGTGGAAGCATTTTATCCGGACAGCACACAGGGTGAGTGTGCGCACGAGGGCAATCTCGCGAGAGCTTTGTTCTCAGTCGGTGAATTATTTTCATGTTTTGGCTGGTCGAAATGGCCGTTTCTTAGGCAGTTACTCCTCCTAGGCCAGGCGGCGAGACGCAACAGCCGTGAGAAGACGAGGCAACCCGGACGCTGTGGTGTACAGCGCGACCGGAGAGTAGAACGATCCAACATGTGTAGTTTCGAGAGCCGTACGCGGTGTGTATGTGGGTGATGCACTGCTCCGTACTTCTTGCTCGTTGTTGGTTGCTTTTCCCCTCTTCGTGCGCGTCGCGCCGTGTCGTGTCGAATCTAGCGTGAGTTTTGGTCTGTGGTGGCAAGCAAGGCCGGAGTCGTTTGTTCGGATCTCGACAGGTCGACATGGAGTGTGTGTGGTGTCATGGGTTTGCGTGTGTCGCGAAGCGCTTCGCGTAGCAAAAACAAAGAACGTAGTTTTACCGCCCCTTCTATCTCTAGATTCTCCGTTTTTGTTTCAGAGAGGCCCAGCATGGGCAGTGCGTGTGTAAAGGTAGGGGGGGGGGGGGGGGGGGGGGGGAACCGGGCGTAGTTACTGGGCAAAAAAAAAATGAAAAATACTCCGTGGTGTCGGTAAGAATCAGGGGTCGTCGGGAAAAGGGGGATAACGTGAATGTCCACTCATGGGCAGACATTTTCCTACCGGCACCTTGAGCTGGCTATCCTTGTAGGGAAACTTGGAAGTCTCCCAGGCGAGCAGTATAGGTATGTGGCGCGCGAAGACAAGACAGGGGGCAGGGGTTTGGAGTTGGAGCGGAGTAAGGGACGTTCGGCGGGTCAAGTCTGGGTGTGCATCCAGTTAGTTGGGCAACGTGTGCGGTGGGCTTGGTGCTGTTCTCGGCTATTCTTGAATCGTTTCTCTCCCCCTTACCGTACGCGTGAACGTGTGCATTCGATAACTCAGTACATATTGCACGAAACAGGGTCAATAGTTGGTGATTGTGTGTATTCTTCTCGCCGGAGTTGGTCCGTCGTATGTCAAGTGTAAGCGCGTTCGTTGTATGTTTTTTTTTTTGGCAAAGTTGTTGGTAGTGATGCACTCGAGCGTGAAAAGAGAATGGATGAGATTTAATTTTGTGTAGGGCCACTCGTTCTGCTTGAGTCTCATTCGGGATGACCCAAAACAAGATTACATCGCGTGCATGGAAAACCTGTCGTTCTTTCATGAGGTTCCCTTGTTTCTGATTGCTCACTTTCGCTTTATTGTCAAGTGTGTTTGGGCGGCCGGATGGGCGTGGGGTTGTGGGATGCACGGTACAGGTGTAGGTGGGTGGTATCTCACGGTGGTTCGTTCACGCGCGTGCGTAACCTATATGTTTGTAGCATATATGAGTGGTGTTTGTTTACGCGGTGTAGTGAAGTTTGTTCATTACTCGATGTGACTCCGAACTTTTGTGCTAAAATCATTCGATATCATGCCTTTTTTTGCGTGTTTTCGTTCGGGATTCAGTCGGGCATGTCCTCAACATAGCATAGCGCTAGGTACCTAATGTCACGGTAGAGAAAGGTCGATGTCGTCTTTAATAGATGAGATCGGGAAGTGGGTGTCGGTTTTATACATCAGATCGCTTGGTCGAGCGCGAGCATAGCAGGTTGATCCATGTCTCTTTTTCTTTTTAGTGAGATCGGGTGGTGGGGGGGTTGTTGATTAAAGGAGGTGGTGGGAAAGAGAGGGCGACACAGCGACAAGCTGGCTCTTCTTTGTTAGGTAGACTAAAAAAGTACGGGCGACATACAAGGAAAAGGTATGCTTGTATGGAACGTACTGGTATGTGTCTTGGCGAAGATAATGTATGAAGAAGCAAAGGAGGAGGATGTTGGAGATTTTCGCTGCTGATGATGCCGTTGTTGTTGTTGACAACGTCCTCCTTGTTTCTCCACGACGAGAACTATTATCTTGCTTTGGAGCCAGACGCCCGGGTCAAACAACAACAAAAATAACCAAAGCGGGGTGGCATCCAGAGGAGAGAGGGGAGGGGGCACAAAGGGGGAAGCCACCAAAAAACAAGCACAGCTGAATTTTCGACAGCGACTGCTGCTGCTTTTCTTGTTGCCCAAGGGAGCACGGCACAACCAACTGGGAGTGCTCGTTTTCGTATCAACGTTTTAGGGGACAGATACAACGCGATGTAGTGCGATGAGGGAGCCGGGGGAAGGAAGAAGCAATAAGAGAAGAGCTACAAATATTATATTTCATCGACCATATCCTCTATTCGTCGTAAGCACGGAGCACGGCAGCTCAAGAAGAAAAGTTCATTCAGGAGGCCAGGCCGTGGTGCAAGGAGATACTTCGAATGACGTGTCCCAATGCACCTACAAAATACCCCAGCTGATCTCAAGTAACGTTACAACTTCTTGTTCGCTTTTTGTGCTTTGTGGAGATCTAAAATAACCGCCGTCTGTCCTTTGTGGTGGACGGGTGTGGTTGTATTGTATTTTCCAATCGGTATTTTCCCCCTCTACATGATGTATGCATATGATGAGCCAATTGGATAAGCAGGAACAACTATTTTTCCACCTTCTTTTTTTTTTCGGGCAACACGCAAAACCCTCGCAATCCACCAGTGAGCATCGGCGGGTATCATTTCATGGTGGCGTGTGCCTCACACGCTCGTGGCAACGCATGGCAATATAGAAAGCCATGCGTGTTCTCTTGCGTACACCCGTCGGTGCAGCAGACCAAACAGCCGACTAGAGGTGACGACGCGATTTCAGCGAAACACACATCCACGACGCACACATGTGTAATAAAAAATGAAGATTTGATGGGGGGGGGGGGGGGGGG